CTCCCCTTTTAATCAACTTTATTAAGGTATAATTTACATACGACAAATACATACATTTTAAATACGTAGCTTGTTGATTTTTGGCAAATGCATGCATGTAACTGCCACTATAATCAAGATACAGAGTATTTCCCGCGCCCCAGAAACGTCCCTCATCTCCCTAGCCTGCTGAATTTTTCTTTTTTTTTTAATTAAAAATTTTTTTCTTTAATTTTTTACTGTTTATTTTTGAGAGAGAAAGTCAGAGAGAGTGAGTGGGGAGGAGCACAGAGAGAGGGAGACACAGAATCCGAAGCAGTCTCCAGGCTCTGAGCTGTCAGCACAGAGCCCAATGCGGGGCTTGAACCCACGAATCATGAGATCATGACCTGAGCCGAAGTCGGATGCTTAACTGACTGAGCCACGCAGGCACCCCTCATATTCAGCATTATCTGAAATCACCTCATTTGTGACTTTTTTTTTCTTTTAAGTTTATTTATTTATTTTGAGAGAGTGTGCGAGTGGGGGAGGGTCAGAGAGGGGGAGAGAATCCCAAGCAGGCTCTGCAATGACAGCGTGGGGCTCAAACTCATGATCATGACCTGAGCCAAAACCAAGAGTCAGATGCTTAACCAACCGAGGTGCCCCCATTTGTGTCTTTTTTAGTCTGTTTACTCTCTCTCTGTCCAACCACAGTGTATGTTCATGGAGGCAGGGACTATGTTGTTCCCCACTCCTTGCATGGCATGGCCCACAATCAGTCTATCAAGGTCATGATACTGTATTTATTATCCTTGTGTGCACATCTTTTTTTTTTTAATTTTTTTTTTAACGTTTATTTATTTTTGAGACAGAGAGAGACAGAGCATGAATGAGGGAGGGTCAGAGAGAGAGGGAGACACAGAATCTGAAACAGGCTCCAGGCTCTGAGCTGTCAGCCCAGAGCCCGACGCGGGGCTGGGCTCGAACTCACGGACCGCGAGATCATGACCTGAGCCGAAGTTGGCCGCTTAACTGACTGAGCCACCCAGGCGCCCCATTTTTTTTTTAATTTAATTTTTTTTTTTTAACGTTTATTCATTTTTGAGACAGAGAGAGACAGAGCATGAATGGGGGAGGGTCAGAGACCTTGTGTGCACATCTTGACACACAGTGAGGTACATTGATGGGGTAATTCCTGGAAATGGAACTATGGAGTCGACGGATATTTCCTTCTTTTGCTATCCTAAAAGAGACATTTGTCCCCCTTTCTCTCTTCTAACCCATGTCTCAGTCTGAGCACTGTTGCCATTTCGGGCTGGACCATTCTTTGTTTTGGGGGGCGGAGGGGGCGGTCTTGTACACTGCAGGATGTTGAGCAGCATCCCTGACCTCTACCCACTAGCTTCCCTAGCGTCCCCCACCTCAGTTGTGACAACCCAAAATGTCTTTAGACAGTGGAAAATGTCCCTGGGGGAGTTAGGGGCGGCAACATTGTCCCCATATGAGAACCACTGGTCTATCTCTGTAGGCTGATTTCCTGCCATACAGTTTTGTCCCTTGGTTGGGCCTATCTTTAAATGAATTACCCTCGATGACATTAGATGTGTTGAATTTATTTTTCACCAGCTCAGTGGACTGAAGTACATGTTATGATCCCTACCTGGAGAGCTGTATCATGAGTGGAGCAGCTGGTTAGTTGTAGAACCAGGGAAGTCTTTGCTGTAAGTCTACAAGGATATGAATGCTTCTCCCTGGAGAATTCTCTGCATTTCTCGCCTCAGGATAAATATGTCTGCAGAGTCAGGCTCTGAGGATACTGCGTCTTCCAGGCCTTAAAGAACAAGGGGGAAACCCCTTACAGCTGTGTATAGGGGCTGTCTGAACTTCCCTGATGAATCAGCACACTGAGTTGGCCATTCTTGTCTTTAAAAACCTGCAAGCTTGCCTGTAAAGCAGTGAAGGATAGATGGGGACATAGTGAAATGAAGCAGGCAGGTCCCATCCGGGGGTGGGGAGGGTGGGCTGCACTGTGGCCACATGTTACGAGGTGGGGATGTGGAGCCCAGCCTTGCCGGACCTTCATTGTTCAAGAAAGGCAAGAAATCCAGAACTTTTTTTGAAAGTGTGATGTCTTGATTCTTGATTTTTATAATAATTAGCAACTTATTATGTTTCAACTTGATGTGGGCCAAATGAAATGCATCTGTCTATAGGCTGACAGTTTGTAACCTCTGAGGTAATGTGTGAGGTTACTTCTTGTTTGGGGACTAACTCACTCAGCCCAGAAGTCTTTTGGCTTGACTGTGGATGCAGTCAGTGCATGTTTATTGAGTATCTACCATGTGCCAAACTATGTTCCAGAGCTGCTGCTTGACGTAAATTTGCTGGAATGACTGATAACCGAAAGCGATAGAGATTATGGGTGGGCAGATGGATGGACAGAGTGATAAAAGAAGGATAGATGGATGATGGATGGCTGAAAGATGGATGGATGAATAAATAGATGGAGGATGGCTAGCTCATGGATGGTTTCATGGATGGATAAATAGATCAATCTGATCTTTTAGAGATATATACTAAAATATTATAGATAAGATAATATGATGTTTGGGAATTACTTCAGAATGATATGGGGAGTTGAATGAGAGTATAAGTCAATCAAGATAATTATTGAATCTGAGTGATGGTGGACATGAGGAGTTTCCTTATACTTTTTTGCTTTCTTTTGAATATGATTGGAAATTTCCCATACTAAAAATATTTGTTTTAATGTTCTTGTCATTTAGAGATACACTTTGAAGGATATACAGGTAAAATGACATCATGTCTGAGACATGGTTTAAAACTTTCAGCTAAAATTTTTTGCAAGTCGGTGTATAGATGTGCTGTGCTCTGAATGCTTGTGTCCTCCCAAAATTTATATGCTGGAATCCTAACATCCAATGTGATGCTGTTGCAAGATAGGGCCCTTGGGAGGTAATTAGGTTATGAAGGTGGAGCCCCCTTGAATGGGATTAGGGGCCCACATTGCTCCCCAGTCCCTTCTACCATGTGACGGCACAACAAGAACCCTGTGACCCAGAAGATGGCCCTCACCCAACCATGCCGGCACCCTGATCTTGAACTCCCAGCTTTCAGGACTGTGAGAAGTTTTTGTGGTTTATAAGCCACCCAATCTATGGTATTTTGTTGTATGAACAAAGACAAGTACAGACTAAGACACGATGAAACATCCTTTAGCAAAATGTTGATCGTTGTTACCACTGGGTGGTGGGTATATAGAGATTCATTACACGGACCTGTGTAAATCTGTATATGGTTGCAAGTTTTTACAATAACATATATATATATATAT